AATCCCTAATGCGATTTCATGGCGATTTGAGAGGAAAATCGTCTGGAAATACTGATTTCAGATGAGAAATCACTCGCAAATCGTTTCTTCAGTAGTGGATCGTCCATTATCAACATCACCTTATGAGAATCGGCGATTTTAGTTAAGAAACCCAGCCTATTTAATTGAAGGATTGGCTGATCTATTTGCATGGTAAGAATTATTTACAATCTGTTGTAGATCGTGGTGAATTAGGGTTTTCTGAATTGGGTTTTGAACAAGCTTTTCAATTTAGGAGTTTTGATGTTATAGAAATTAGGGTTAATCGAATTTGGGAATTGATCTAATTGATGTCCATTTCCCTGTCCCATTTAAATGTGTTGTTGTGAAGAGGAATTGGTTATGTGCTTGCTCGTCTTTGCTTTAAGTTTCTCAGGAGTACATGTTCTTTATGTAACTGAGAACCTTGCTTCTGGCTCGTGTGAAAATTAGCCATACCTCTTAACTGCATTTGAATGTTGTTCTGTCTCGTTACCTCACTGAAGTTTTTGGTTGTTTTCTTGAAGCAGACAATGCAATTCTTTCAAGGTGAGGGCGGCCAAGGTGAAGAAAGGCCTGGAGGAAACTGTTTCTGGTATCAAAGTGAATGTGAATGATGTTAAGGTAGCAAATCTTTCACTGCAGATGTATATATTGTTGTCATAAATGCTTAATGTTCATCATTGTTTGAGGTAGCAAATCTTTAAATGATAGGTATCTTACTACTAAACATATCTCGCTGTTGTGTACAGTTTGATAATTTGAGTTATAATTTGGTTTGTGAATTCAAGTCCAGTATCTTTCATCCTTGCATTTAACCTTTTACCCTTGTGTGCAGTTTTTGAGCCATTCAAGGATAACAAGGTGGAACTACTTGTGCCGAAATTAGTGTTTCTGGCCCTAAACCTTGGAGGGTTAGCTTTGGGTATCTGGAAGGTGAGAAACGTTTCCTCATTGTTTCCTCTTAAGGCAACACTTCCTAGATTAGAAATATAAAGTACTGTTTTTCTCATACAAAAAAATTCACTTTCTCAGCTCAACACTTTGGGACTTCTTCCAACACATGCATTAGATTGGGGTTCATCTCTTGCCCCTCCTCAGGTTCGTAAACAACCTCAAACAATTACTTTTAGTGACTGTTACATTCAGCTAAATGTTTGGTTTGATGTTCTTGATTTGGAGTTAAACAAATGATAACATCAATACTTTGATTTGGCTAATAAAAGTTGACCCTTTTCTTTGTTTTTTATCTACATATCTGTGTCACGGCTAAGAAGAAGGAGCCATTCAAAGAATGCAAGATCGTTGAAGGAGATGCTGAGGATCTCCCTTTCCCTACTGATTAAGCCAACAGATACGTTTTTGCTCACCTATTTTAAACAGAGAAAACGTCTATTTCTTGGGTTGTGGTTTGTTTGTGATAGTTAAAGATTAGGTGAAGAGTTAACTTTGTCATTTATTGCTTAGTAACTCATAGCTGGTAATAAATGCTTCTTAGTGTTAGATTAGGACTGTGAGTGTGATGAATGCTTATTGACTGTGAGTGTGATGGAGGGTTAACTGACCAAGACTGTGATGAATGCTTCTTAGTGTTAGATTAGGACTGTGAATGTTAGATTCACTGTCAATGTGATGAATGCTTGTTACGTAAATAATTTACTATGTTATTAAATGGTATAAACAATAAGCAGAACTTGTTGTGTTGTACTTATATCCGAAACACACTTGAACCACTTCCTATATATT